CCCAAAAACGCTGAAGGATCCGCACATGTGCGGGAAGTGCAGCGGCCGCTCTTCATTCGTGAGCGCCGATGACTGATGAAGCTTGCAACCCTCCCACGCCCGTGCTGGCTTAGTAATAGCACCAGACAAGCGCAGCGACGTGACCCGGCGGAAGGAAAACGCTCGTAACGAGCTCTTCCACCTCCAAAACACGGAATGATCCGCACATGTGCGAGAAGTGCAGCGGACGCTCTTCATTCGCGAGCGCCGATGACTGATGAAGCTTGCAACCCTCCCACGCCCATGCTGGCTTGGTATTAGGACCAGACAAGCGCAGCCACGTGACCGGCGGAAGAAAAACGCTCAAAACGAGGGCTTCCATACCCCAAAACGCGGAAGGATCAGCACATGTGCAGGAAGTGCAGCGGGCGCTCTTCATTCGCAAGCGCCGATGACCGATGATGCTTGCAACCTTCCCACGCCCTTGCTGGCATAATAATAGGACCAGACAAGCGCAGCCACGTGATCCGGCGGAAGAAAAAAGCTCGGAACGAGCGCTTCCACCCCCAAAACGCGGAAGGATCAGCACATGTGCAGGAAGTGCAGCGGGCGCTCTTCATTCGCAAGCGCCGATGACCGATGATGCTTGCAACCCTCCCACGCCCTTGCTGGCATAATAATAGGACCAGACAAGCGCAGCCACGTGATCCGGCGGAAGAAAATAGCTCGGAACGAGCGCTTCCACCCCCAAAACGCGGAAGGATCCGCACATGTGCAGGAAGTGCAGCGGGCGCTCTTCATTCGCGAGCGCCGATGACCGATGATGCTTGCCACCCTCCCACGCCCTTGCTGGCTTGGTAATAGGACCAGACAAGTGCAGTCACGTGACCCGGCGGAAGAAAAACACTCGGAACGAGAGCTTCTACCCCCAAAACGCGGAAGGATCCGCACATGTGCAGGAAGTGCAGCGGGCGCTCTTCATTCGCGAGCGCCGATGACTGGTGATGCTTGCGACCCTCCCACGCCCTTGCTGGCTTGGTAATAGGACCAGACAAGCGCAGCCATGTGACCCGGCAGAAGAAAAACACTCGGAACGAGCGCTTGCACCCCCAAAACGCGGAAGGATCCGCGCATGTGCAGAAAGTGCAGAGGGCGCTCTTCATTTGCGAGAACCGATGATCGATGATGGTCGCAACCCTGCCACGCCCTTGCTGGCTTGGTAATAGGCCCGGACAAGCGCAGCCACGTGACCCGGCGGAAGAAAAACGCTCGAAACGAGCGCTTCCACCCCCAAAACACGGAAGGATCTGCACATGTGCAGGAAGTGCAGCGGGCGCTCTTCATTCGCGAGCGCCGATGACCGATGATGCTCACAACCCTCCCACGCCCTTGCTAGCTTGGTAATAGACCCAAAAAGGCACAGCCACGTGACCCAGCGGAAGAAAAACGCTCGCAACGAGCGATCCACCCTCAAAACGCAGAAGGATCTGCACATGTGCAGGAAGTGCAGCGGGCGCTCTTCATTCGCGAGAACCGATAACCGATGATGATCGCAACCCTCCCATGCCCTGCTGGCTTGGTGATAGGCCCAGACAAGTGCAGCCACGCGACCCTTCGGAAGAAAAACGCTCGGAACGAGCGCTTCCAACCCCGAATGTGGATGGATGTGAACATGTGCAAAAGGTGCAGCGCGGGCTCTTCATTCGCGAGCGTCGATGACCGATGATGCTCGCAACCCTCCCACGCGCTTGCTGGCTTGGTAATAGGACCAGACAAGCGCAGCCACGTGACCCGGCGGAAGAAAAATGCTCGTAACGAGCATATCCACCCCCATCACGCGGAAGGATCCGCACATGTGCAGGAGGTGCAGTGAGCGCTCTTCATTCGCGAGCGCCAATGACCGATGATGCTCGCAACCCTCCCACGCCCTTGCTGGCTTGGTAAAAAAACCATACAACCGCAGCCATGTGACCTGGCGGTAGAAAAACGCTTGGAACGAGCGCTTCGACCCCCAAAACGCGGAAGGATCCGCACATGTGCAGGAAGTGCAGCGGACGCTCTTCATTCGCGAGCGCCGATGACCGACTATGCTCGCTACCCTCCCACGCCCTTGCTGGCTTGGAAATAGGCCCAGACAAGCGCAGCCACGTGACCCGGCGGGAGAAAAACGCTCGTAACTAGTGCTTCCAGCCCCAAAACGCGGAAGGATCTGCACATGTCCAGGAAGTGCAGCGGGCGCTATTCATTCGCGAGCGCCGATGACCGATGATGCTCGCAACCCCCCCACGCCTTTGCTGGCTTGGTAATAGGACCAGACAAGCGCAGCCACGTTACCCGGCGGAGAAAAACGCTTGGAAAGGATCTGCACATGTGCAGGAAGTGCAGCGGGCGATCTTCATTCGCGAGCGTCGATGACCGATGATGCTCGCAACCCTCCCACGCCCTTGCTGGCTTGGTAATAGGCCCAAACATGCGCAGCCACATGATCCGACGGAAGAAAAACGCTCGGAACGAGCGCTTCCACCCCCAAAACGCGCAAGGATCCGCACATGTGCAGGAAGTGCATCGCGCGCTCTTCATTCGCGAGCGCCAATGACCGATGATGCTCGCAACCCTCCCGCGCCCTTGCTGGCTTGGTAATAGGCCCAGACAAGCGCAGCCACGTGACTCGGAGGAAGAAAAACGATCGGAACGAGCGCTTCCAGCCCAAAAACGCGGAAAGATTCGAACATGTGTAGGAAGTGCAGCGGGCGCTCTTCATTTGCGAGCGCCGATGACCGATGATGCTCGCAACCCTCCTGCGCCCTTGCTAGTTCAATAATAGGACCAGACAAGCGCAGCCACGTGACCTGGTGGAAAACAAACGTTCGGAACGAGCGCTTCCACCCCAAAAACGCTGAAGGATCCGCACATGTGCAGGAAGTGCAGCGGGCGCTCTTCATTTGCGAGCGCCGATGACCGATGATGCTCGCAACCATCCCACGCCCTTGCTGGCTTGGTAATAGGCCCAGACAAGAGCTGCCACGTGACCAAGCAGAAAAAAAGGCTCGGAACGAGCGCTTCCACCCCCAAAATGCGGAAGGATCCGCACATGTGGAAGAAGTGCAGGCCACCAACGCCAGCACCTCCAGCTCCAGCACCCCCAGAACTAGCACCTCCAGTGCCATGACCTCCAGCTCCAGTACCCCCAGAACTAGCACCGCCATTGCCCGCACCTCCTGGTCCAACACCTCTCGAACGAGCGCCCCCAGACCGAGTTCTGCTAGTGGCTGTACCTCTAGCTCCAACACCAACCGAGTCAACAGTAACATGTCGCGGACGTGCCGAATGCTGCTGGTTGGACTGTGAGGAGGACTGCGGGGAGGGAGACGCTACCTGACGCGCGACCGAGGTTAGAGGGGTAGTGCGAGACACACCTGACGGGGCAGGACCAGGGGGGGGCGGAGGTACCGGAGGAGCGGGAGCAGGGGGAGGAGAGGGTGCGAGGAAGAGGGGGGGAGGGAGAACCGGGAGACCTCGACAGGGGTACCGGGTGTAATAGGACACTGACTCGTGAAACCGAACGTCACGAGAGTCTAGAAACTGGTGGAGGGCCGGGTGGTAAAAGGAGTAGTCGGGAGAGCCCACCGGGAAACCAAGGAAGACACAGGGGATGGCGCGAGCCGGGAGCTTGTCCGCAGAGGTGTCGCGGACAAGCGCAAGGCAGCCCCAGACACGAGAGGTCGACCCAACATTAGGAGACCCGGTCCAAAGACTGGTCGGTGAAACCTCTGGTCGCGAGACACGCGGTTGGAGGTTCAGCTGGTGCGCGGCGTAGCGAAGAGCGTAGGGCCACAGAAAATGGAGCACACGGGCATGGATCATGGACGTGCGGGCGATGTCCATGACCAAGCCAATGCGGCGCTCAGCAACCCCATTCTGATGTGGGGACTTCGGCAGCGTCCAGGACTGTCTGATGCCCTGCTTACCGCGGAACCCGTCAAGTACGCCGGAGCAAAACTCACCCCCATGGTCGGAGTGGAGACAACGGACACGACTACCACGAGTGCCCTCAGTGGCCAGAAGCCACCGGATCAGCGTAGAAGTCGCGGGATTTTTCGCGAGAAGAAACACCGTGGTGTAGCTGGAGTAGTCGTCAACGACCACTAGAAAGTAGCGCTCCCTCTCAGGTCCCATCGTAGGGGCAAGGCCCCACGAGCGACGCGACGGGCTAGGGCAGGGCGCACGGGCGACGAGACGGGCTGGGGCAAGGCGCACGAGCGACGCGACGGGCTAGGGCAGGGCGTACGGGCGACGCGATGGGCTGGGGCAGGGCGCATGGGCTACGTGACGGGCTAGGGTAGGGCGCACGGGCTACACGACGGGCTGGGGCGGAGGCGCGATACGGAGGGCGTGGAGGGCACGTAGGGGAGGGCTAGGCGCGGAGGGCGTGTTACGGAGGGTGCGTTACGGAGGGCGCGGAGGGCGCGGGGGCGCGGGGGGCGCTAGGGCACGGAGGGCGCTAGGGCGCGGAGGGCGCTTGGGCGCGGAGGGCGCTTGGGCGCGTGACGGAGGGCGCGTAAGGCGCGGAGGGCGCTAGGGCGCGTGACGGAGGGCGCGTAAGGTGCGGAGGTGCGCTAGGGCGCGGAGGGCGCGAGCTAGGCTAGGCTAGGCAAGGATTCTAAACCTACTCGTTATACCATCTCAGAAATAGAATGCAACTGAATGGTTGGATTAGGGTAGGGAGGCAATACAAATACCGTAGGAAGTCTAACAAAGTTGTACCCTCTATGGAGTACCTAACTGCAGCCTATCACAACAATAACATTTGACAGGCGGGTCTTATATTCGGTAACAGCGAAACTTACAGCATGTGCAAAATTTGCGCGAGTCGCACGTCAGATACCCAGAGGAGTACAATAGCTGCGCTGGATCACGTTAGCAAACAAAGAATGGATATTGCCTTTGGTCTTTCCTTGTCGTGCCTGGAGTGGGTAAGCTCTCGTGGAGCACGAATCGTCACGAGCAGCAGTCCATTCCATTCATATCTTGCCGGCGACTAGCTTTGCTTCAATCTCCTCCAGCTGGAGCCCTCTGGTCTCGGGCACCCACAGGTAGATGAAGAGGAGGGCTCCAGCACCGATGGTGGCAAACGAGTAGAACGTGCCTGCTTGCCCCAACGCGCCCTGCACATGGAAGAACGGGCAGGGCAGGCAGCGCGGGTGGCATGGGAAGCAAGAGAGCAGAGGAGGAACAGTGCGTGAGACGGAAGTCCCGTGGCGTGCGTACATGCCAGCAACTCGTCCAGTGAGAGGATGCTCAAGTGCCAGTGTTGGCCCCACCACACCCCTGTGCTAATTGCTACCGAGTCAGGGCGGAGCAGGTACTTGAATGGGCGGCAGGGCGAAGGAGGTACCTGAATGGGCGGCAGGGCGAAGGTGACGAGGGCGTTGGAGGCAAAGTTGAGGAGCGTGGCGATGCTCTGCGCTCGGCCCCGCACCGGCAGAGGAAACACCTCCGACACCATTAGCCATGCTATGGGGCCAAACGACACCTGCTCTGCCACCCGCGCACACGCAGGTAGGCACGCCAACACACACGCATGCAGGAACATAGGCATGCAGGCACACGGGCAGGTGGGCTCAGGGGCAGGTGGGCTCAGGGGCAGGTGGGCTCAGGGGCAGGTGGGCTCAGGGGCAGGTGGGCACACAGGCAGGTGGGCACAGAAGCATGTGGGCACAGAAGCATGTGGGCACAGAAGCATGTGGGCACAGAAGCATGTGGGCACAGAAGCAGGTGGGCACAGAAGCATGTGGGCACAGAAGCATGTGGGCACAGAAGCATGTGGGCACAGAAGCATGTGGGCACAGAAGCATGTGGGCACAGAAGCATGTGGGCACAGAAGCATGTGGGCACAGAAGCATGTGGGCACAGAAGCATGTGGGCACAGAAGCATGTGGGCACAGAAGCAGGTGGGCACAGAAGCATGTGGGCACAGAAGCATGTGGGCACAGAAGCATGTGGGCACAGAAGCAGGTGGGCACAGAAGCATGTGGGCACAGAAGCATGTGGGCACAGAAGCATGTGGGCACAGAAGCATGTGGGCACAGAAGCATGTGGGCACAGAAGCATGTGGGCACAGAAGCATGTGGGCACAGAAGCATGTGGGCACAGAAGCATGTGGGCACAGAAGCATGTGGGCACAGAAGCAGGTGGGCACAGAAGCATGTGGGCACAGAAGCATGTGGGCACAGAAGCATGTGGGCACAGAAGCATGTGGGCACAGAAGCATGTGGGCACAGAAGCATGTGGGCACAGAAGCATGTGGGCACAGAAGCATGTGGGCACAGAAGCATGTGGGCACAGAAGCATGTGGGCACAGAGCATGTGGCACAGAAGCATGTGGGCACAGAAGCATGTGGGCACAGAAGCATGTGGGCACAGAAGCATGTGGGCACAGAAGCATGTGGGCACAGAAGCATGTGGGCACAGAAGCATGTGGGCACAGAAGCATGTGGGCACAGAAGCATGTGGGCACAGAAGCATGTGGGCACAGAAGCATGTGGGCACAGAAGCATGTGGGCACAGAAGCATGTGGGCACAGAAGCATGTGGGCACAGAAGCATGTGGGCACAGAAGCATGTGGGCACAGAAGCATGTGGGCACAGAAGCATGTGGGCACAGAAGCATGTGGGCACAGAAGCATGTGGGCACAGAAGCATGTGGGCACAGAAGCATGTGGGCACAGAAGCATGTGGGCACAGAAGCATGTGGGCACAGAAGCATGTGGGCACAGAAGCATGTGGGCACAGAAGCAGGTGGGCACAGAAGCATGTGGGCACAGAAGCAGGTGGGCACAGAAGCATGGTGGGCACAGAAGCAGGTGGGCACAGAAGCATGTGGGCACAGAAGCATGTGGGCACAGAAGCATGGGCACAGAAGCATGTGGGCACAGAAGCATGTGGGCACAGAAGCATGTGGGCACAGAAGCAGGTGGGCACAGAAGCATGTGGCACAGAAGCATGTGGGCACAGAAGCAGGTGGGCACAGAAGCATGTGGGCACAGAAGCATGTGGGCACAGAAGCATGTGGGCACAGAAGCATGTGGGCACAGAACCAGGTGGGCACAGAAGCATGTGGGCACAGAAGCATGTGGGCACAGAAGCATGTGGGCACAGAAGCATGTGGGCACAGAAGCATGTGGGCACAGAAGCATGTGGGCACAGAAGCATGTGGGCACAGAAGCATGTGGGCACAGAAGCATGTGGGCACAGAAGCATGTGGGCACAGAAGCATGTGGGCACAGAAGCATGTGGGCACAGAAGCATGTGGGCACAGAAGCATGTGGGCACAGAAGCATGTGGGCACAGAAGCATGTGGGCACAGAAGCATGTGGGCACAGAAGCATGTGGGCACAGAAGCATGTGGGCACAGAAGCATGTGGGCACAGAAGCATGTGGGCACAGAAGCATGTGGGCACAGAAGCATGTGGGCACAGAAGCATGTGGGCACAGAAGCATGTGGCACAGAAGCATGTGGGCACAGAAGCATGTGGGCACAGAAGCATGTGGGCACAGAAGCATGTGGGCACAGAAGCATGTGGGCACAGAAGCATGTGGGCACAGAAGCATGTGGGCACAGAAGCATGTGGGCACAGAAGCATGTGGGCACAGAAGCATGTGGGCACAGAAGCATGTGGGCACAGAAGCATGTGGGCACAGAAGCATGTGGGCACAGAAGCATGTGGGCCACAGAAGCATGTGGGCACAGAAGCATGTGGGCACAGAAGCATGTGGGCACAGAAGCATGTGGGCACAGAAGCATGTGGGCACAGAAGCATGTGGGCACAGAAGCATGTGGGCACAGAAGCATGTGGGCACAGAAGCATGTGGGCACAGAAGCATGTGGGCACAGAAGCATGTGGGCACAGAAGCATGTGGGCACAGAAGCATGTGGGCACAGAAGCATGTGGGCACAGAAGCATGTGGGCACAGAAGCATGTGGGCACAGAAGCAGGTGGGCACAGAAGCATGTGGGCACAGAAGCATGTGGGCACAGAAGCATGTGGGCACAGAAGCATGTGGGCACAGAAGCAGGTGGGCACAGAAGCATGTGGGCACAGAAGCATGTGGGCACAGAAGCATGTGGGCACAGAAGCATGTGGGCACAGAAGCATGTGGGCACAGAAGCATGTGGGCACAGAAGCAGGTGGGCACAGAAGCATGTGGGCACAGAAGCAGGTGGGCACAGAAGCATGTGGGCACAGAAGCATGTGGGCACAGAAGCATGTGGGCACAGAAGCATGTGGGCACAGAAGCATGTGGGCACAGAAGCATGTGGGCACAGAAGCATGTGGGCACAGAAGCATGTGGGCACAGAAGCAGGGGCACAGAAGCATGTGGGCACAGAAGCATGTGGGCACAGAAGCATGTGGGCACAGAAGCATGGTGGGCACAGAAGCATGTGGGGCACAGAAGCATGTGGGCACAGAAGCATGTGGGCACAGAAGCATGTGGGCACAGAAGCATGTGGGCACAGAAGCATGTGGGCACAGAAGCATGTGGGCACAGAAGCATGTGGGCACAGAAGCATGTGGGCACAGAAGCATGTGGGCACAGAAGCATGTGGCACAGAAGCATGTGGGCACAGAAGCATGTGGGCACAGAAGCATGTGGGCACAGAAGCATGTGGGCACAGAAAGCATGGTGGGCACAGAAGCATGTGGGCACAGAAGCTCATGTGGGCACAGAAGCATGTGGGCACAGAAGCATGTGGGCACAGAAGCAGGTGGGCACAGAGCATGTGGGCACAGAAGCATGTGGGCACAGAAGCATGTGGGCACAGAAGCATGTGGGCACAGAAGCATGTGGGCACAGAAGCATGTGGGCACAGAAGCATGTGGGCACACAGAAGCATGTGGGCACAGAAGCATGTGGGCACAGAAGCATGTGGGCACAGAAGCATGTGGGCACAGAAGCATGTGGGCACAGAAGCATGTGGGCACAGAAGCATGTGGCACAGAAGCATGTGGGCACAGAAGCATGTGGGCACAGAAGCATGTGGGCACAGAAGCATGTGGGCACAGAAGCATGTGGGCACAGAAGCATGTGGGCACAGAAGCATGTGGGCACAGAAGCATGTGGGCACAGAAGCATGTGGGCACAGAAGCATGTGGGCACAGAAGCATGTGGGCACAGAAGCATGTGGGCACAGAAGCATGTGGGCACAGAAGCATGTGGGCACAGAAGCATGTGGGCACAGAAGCATGTGGGCACAGAAGCAGGTGGGCAAGAAGCATGTGGGCACAGAAGCATGTGGGCACAGAAGCATGTGGGCACAGAAGCATGTGGGCACAGAAGCATGTGGGCACAGAAGCATGTGGGCACAGAAGCATGTGGGCACAGAAGCATGTGGGAACAGAAGCAATGTGGGCACAGAAGCATGTGGGCACAGAAGCATGTGGCACAGAAGCATGTGGGCACAGAAGCATGTGGGCACAGAAGCATGTGGGCACAGAAGCATGTGGGCACAGAAGCATGTGGGCACAGAAGCATGTGGGCACAGAAGCATGTGGGCACAGAAGCATGTGGGCACAGAAGCATGTGGGCACAGAAGCATGTGGGCACAGAAGCATGTGGGCACAGAAGCATGTGGGCACAGAAGCATGTGGGCACAGAAGCATGTGGGCACAGAAGCATGTGGGCACAGAAGCATGTGGGCACAGAAGCATGTGGGCACAGAAGCATGTGGCACAGAAGCATGTGGGCACAGAAGCATGTGGGCACAGAAGCATGTGGGCACAGAAGCATGTGGGCACAGAAGCATGTGGGCACAGAAGCATGTGGGCACAGAAGCATGTGGGCACAGAAGCATGTGGGCACAGAAGCATGTGGGCACAGAAGCATGTGGGCACAGAAGCATGTGGCACAGAAGCATGTGGGCACAGAAGCATGTGGGCACAGAAGCATGTGGGCACAGAAGCATGTGGGCACAGAAGCATGTGGGCACAGAAGCATGTGGGCACAGAAGCATGTGGGCACAGAAGCATGTGGGCACAGAAGCATGTGGGCACAGAAGCATGTGGGCACAGAAGCATGTGGGCACAGAAGCATGTGGGCACAGAAGCATGTGGGCACAGAAGCATGTGGGCACAGAAGCATGTGGGCACAGAAGCATTGGGCACAGAAGCATGTGGGCACAGAAGCATGTGGGCACAGAAGCATGTGGGCACAGAAGCATGTGGGCACAGAAGCATGTGGGCACAGAAGCATGTGGGCACAGAAGCATGTGGGCACAGAAGCATGTGGGCACAGAAGCATGTGGGCACAGAAGCATGTGGGCACAGAAGCATGTGGGCACAGAAGCAGGTGGGCACAGAAGCATGTGGGCACAGAAGCATGTGGGCACAGAAGCATGTGGGCACAGAAGCATGTGGGCACAGAAGCATGTGGGCACAGAAGCATGTGGGCACAGAAGCATGTGGGCACAGAAGCATGTGGGCACAGAAGCATGTGGGCACAGAAGCATGTGGGCACAGAAGCATGTGGGCACAGA